ATCTACTTGGACTATTCACTGACCGTGGTCAGTGTTAATTAGGGCTAAACCATTCCGCAAAATAGGCAGGGATGTGCAGTCATCTAATCAGGTTGACTGGCAAATATTGTTGAAGTTCGTGGTGAATAAATTAATATTAGTGTTGTTTTTTTATGAATACAAGGGTCAGGTAATTCAACAAGAATTAACAGCATGGATAACTTCAACACTTTTGTAGCCCATCTCTTCATCTTATGATGTGATCTTCCCCACATATGTAATGACATGCCTACTCTATGCTATGATCTGCCCACCCTTACATATACAGAGAAAGCTAGTTTGGAATTAATCTCTACATAATATTCACTTAATTTGCATACTAATTAATTACTTTCAACAATGAAAATAGTATGGATTGAAACTTAGTACATGATTACTGTTTGTGTAGAGCAATAATTAATAACTAATTTACATAATTAATTCTAGCATGTTCACCGTAAACTGTAGATCAATGTCTGATAACCGTTACTAATAAATCTAGGCATATCAAAGTGAATTTCATGTTTGTCTTTGTGAGTTATACTTTGTACATGCCTACACCAATCACACATGTACACAACCTCAAACTATGAATGAAAAAAAACAAAAAAACAAAGGTTTAAGTGGAAATTCTTCGATTACATGATTATTTTAGTTGACTCAGTAATCTTGACTTCATGTGAAATAATTATTTATGTTGTATATTATTTATAATTATTTTCTTTAATATACAGTTGTACATTCTGCAGTAATTATATCGGCAGTTACAAGAAACCAACGACCAGATGAGAAAGAAATTCCAGTTGAATGTCCTTTGATTCTGAAAAGCATGATGGAAGAGTGTTGGAATGGAAACCCGTACAAAAGACCAACATTTCAAGGTAGAAGCGATATGAATTCATTTTAACGAATAGAAACATTCAAGAACAATATATTAACTGTCTGAAATCACAGTGGTCATCTAACTATTTCAAAAACCCGGTTAAGGGTTCTGTGTTTTCATGTGCAAGGAATGTTTTTAAAAAAAAACAAACAATTTTTGGCTAAATTTTGTTAGCAGTTGAATTAATGTTGTCCCAATAGAATGTTTTGTTTTAAAAAATTTTGTTCCTGACTTGTAGAAATCTGAAAAACTTGTTTCTCAACTTGTCTCTTTATTTAGTTTCATGTCGTATTCATCACGGCGGCCCCATATAGTAAATATTGATAAATTAATCGCATTTTTTTTATCACTTGAACGCCAGCTGACTGAAATATAATTTGATTGAAAAAAACAAGATCTGTACATGTACTTTATTTCAAAAACACAGCATGCTAAAATATAGTTTGAAAAAAATGAATATATATGTTCATGTTTTTTTCCAGCCTTAAAAGAAATGATGGAGAAATCAGAAGATAGTGTTACTGGTCTTAATTTTGATCGCATTGATATTAATAAGGTAAAGGTCATACATATTTTATTCGACAAAAGATACCCTGTACTATATATTGGATTTAATTTCTAAATAGGCGATTCTTATCAAACAAAACCATGTGGTTACAGCCATAAGTTACAGCGTGTTGTAATTTTGCAGTTTTTTACGGGGTATTTTCATCCTACCATATAAACAAAATGCAAATTCCAAATATGGAATGATTACTGTAAAAGTCCTAATATAAACTACGGTTTATATTACAATGTATCAATTTAAAAATTGGGGTCAAAAGCTCAAGTTCGGGGTGCGGTTTATATTACATACATAATGCAATCACTAAATGGGCGTGGTCATTTTTTTCCACAACACATGCAAAAACAAACAATACATCGTACACTCTCTTGAAGATAGGCGTCACTCTATTTAGACGTCAGGAAAGAGTGAAAGGCCTTACTAAAATAGGCGTCATGAAATGTTGAAAAATTACAGTCATTCAACAAAAAAATGTTCACAGGATAAAAGACACGAATGCATTGCTTAGTAGCAAATGATCTTGGTATGGTAGCGCAAATCTGGTCATGCCGCGGTTCACAAGTGAATAACTTACTTGTTATCGAAGTGTTGAAATTGTTGATTATTATAACTCAGTAGTGATTATAACAACGCACACAAAATAAATTAGTAGAAATGCAAGTAAGATTGACCGTAAGCGACTGATTTTGGTTACATGTAAACCCTTGATGCGATACGATATTCGCCAGATTTTTTGAATGTTTTTTAACGCTACGTGTTGGTCGATACTCCCGCTTTACTATCTCGTGCATACTTTGAGGTATCCTCATAATAACCTCATATTAACACCATGTAAAAAATAAAAAAAAAATTCCTCCCTTGCATTTAATCTATTATTTTTTTGTGTTTGTTAATAATATCTGTGTATGCTTCCAGGCATCCATATGCACATCCGGACTTACCTTAGACATGCCTTGACTGATGACATTCAAACTTCACACATACTTCATTCATACATACATAATATTATACATACACACCTCAAACTGTTTCACGAACTAATTCAAAATGGCCGAATAGTGGCCATTTTTGTACTAAGAATCATCACAAAAACAAGCATTTCTGGCGCTTCTGAATTGGATCTTAGGTGTTTACAGATGGATTTAGTTCAAACTTGCATTACATACATTAAACATTATGGGACCTTGATGCACGTCATTTTGTTTTCCAGATCGGTTTCCAAATCATTGACTGGTGGTCTTTTGTTTTAAATGTGGCTCTAGTGCCATATATCTGGCATGCTTTCACTGATTATGTTCACATTTTATTATATTCATTATACATTATGTCATAGAAATACAGATATATTGATTTAACGATTCGATTCAAAATGGCCGACCAGTGGCCATTTTGTTTTATATAATGCTGTTCCAGAGCAATATCTTTTAATATCGACACGTACTCAATTGTCGATCACGTACAAGAAGACTGAATGTCAATCATTTTTATGTTATAAATTATCATAATCAACATCAGCTTTTGGATCCATATCTCTGTCATGGTTAAGTTCAAATTATATTACTATAAACAAAACTATATATCTTAAATTTGACCACTGATGAGATCCCATACATGGCTTATTTCACATTGAAACAAATAGCTACTTAGAGCATATATATTAACATTGTACAAAGTATTTCTATATTCTGTGTATATAATACAGTCTATTAAGTGGTGTATTTCATTTTCTATTTGGTTGATTATGCATGTATTTAAAATATGTAATTTGCATAATAATTAGCTAAGTGTTTTTCTGTTCCTATGATTTTTGTTTGCATTATTGCTCTGCGATACTCCATGCACAATTTTGAATACAAATATGTGTATATTAATTGTCCATTGTGTTCTCACATATCACACTTATGGGGTTGCCTATTTTGCATAGTAAATATTTAATTTCAGCTCTTGATAACATAATACAAGTAAAATATTATTTTATTTTGTTAAAATGATGTTATTGTTGACTTTGATACAGTTTTTTTTTCATCTCAAACTGAGCTATTTCACGCTACTTGTTTTAATAATAGGCTAATATTAACTACCATTAATAAATACTCTTTTTATGCATTTCACATCTTCAGTCACTGCACTCAATCTTATCTAAACTTTCTTTGATTTGTTTTGAGAATTGGCTTATTACTTTATTTACGGTTAAAATGAAAAATGTGTTTGCTATGTTGATGTCTCCCAGAAGAGTTCACATGAAATTTTATAAGCCTATCATCTATTTTATAATCATTTGTCTAATAACAAGTAGAACTTGCTGAAACATCATTCACACAAGATACAATAGTTTTCCTAAATAATGTGCAGGATAATTGTATAGTATGTGATAATTATTTGTAGAAATTGTGGATGATACAATCTTGCAATTACATGCAACTATACAACAATGTACTGACAGTAACAGGTGATGTGAAATGATACAGTAAGAATTACTTAGGGTCCCCTCAACCATACCTCGAATCTTAAACCTGCCTTTCCTTTCCTCATTGTAATTGTACCATATGGCATCATCTGCTGCAAAAGATAACAAGATTTAAGTTACACAAATATTTACTGGTTTTTTTTCAAGAGCATGAAATAATAGGATACAAATCGGCATTGACAGGTTAAGCTGCTGAGCTTGTACTAACTCGGGGATATGACGCAGCTAAAGATGTAAATTGGGACACTCACGGCATCCATATAGGATAGCAATGCATTTTCAACCTTTCAGCAGTATGATGCTGAAATCATTTGATCATGCTGTCAGACAGAGATGAACAGACAGAGTAAAATAAATGAAAATTAGAAATAAAACCCCAAATAATGACGAGTCTAGAAACTCTGAAATCTGCACCCGCCACATGCTTGAATGCACCTGAGGGAGGGTGGTCATTTTTCGCACCTGTAGCTACATCCAGAGGAGGATTCACATGGAGGGCACCCTTCTTTCAACAGAGTGCATTTTGTTTCATTACCGTTTGCTTTGCTTTGTATTAGGAGTAATATCCGGTCAACAGTTCATTGTTTGAACATGGTGGTTCTACCCCTGTGATATTCAGATATGAACAACAACCTTATTTCAACATATTGTTTCAAAATAATTGTGACGACGCCCTTGGGAATGGAGGGGTGACAGATTACACCTTGGACAACGACAAGCGCACATCTAACCCACATCCGGTATGCGCAGCTTCACTGGAGTTTTCTACAGAAATATAATTTAAACCATCGATAACCCGTCCTGAACTTTCCTCTTCGTTTCGATGTTTTCCTAGATGGAGAACTATGACAAACTTTGCTCTTGAATCCATTTTGGGTAGTCGTTTTAGTGTGTCATCTATGAGTACGTCATCGTCACCCTAAATTATGTTGTCTCAAGAACTACTGTAACAGATCCCGTATCCCGCCACTAAACTAACTAAACTAAACTACGCTAAGCTAATAAATGTATTCACATGCCAAATTGTAGAAGAAAAAATAATATTGCCTATATTAAAGGAAGAATCGTAATTTCTGTGAAGATAGCAAGAACTTAACGAACAACATTGTTTACGTCGCCATCTTTAAAGTGACCTGACTCACTAGACTGGCACAGTTTGGGCGATTTATTTCTTTTTAAATTTAAAATTAAATAAAAAAAAATAGCGAAAGGGAGGTGTTAACACGAAATCCCCTGTAACTGCGAAATCACCAGACTGGACGTTTTTTGCCACGCCCTCTGTGGTGAAAACAGGAACTAGTTTGTTTTCATACTATTTTTTATGTTAATGAACAGAATGACAGGCAAGAATGACAGAGTAATTTGACCTTTAAACTAAATCTTTGTACCCGAAGACTTCACTTTCCTTCAATGTTCTAGATCGTCAATCATGACAAACGAATTACTATTCCAACGCTCCGTACAAATTATTCTAATGGAGAGAAGTTGCCTGTGTGTAGCTTTATCTCGCATGGGTTAAAGTGAAGCGCGATCTGCACAGAAGAAAATAATTGATGGTAGTTCGTGGCGATAGTTCAATTTTCAACCTCATCATGCAGCGTGCACACCCCCACTCATTTTCTGTATCCGTTCAGTGATGTCACTGCATATCATGAATGAATAAGAGCAACAGATTAGCTGCAAACAAGACCAGTCTGTGGTGGTTTCGCGTTCACCCCACGTCCCCACCTTTTGCAAAACTATTTTTCCAATTTATTTATTTATTATTATCATTTAACTGAAAAAATTACCACAGCAGGGCCAGTCTACTGACTCACTGGTCATGCGACGACCTAATTGTGAAAATTCGTGGTATTTGCACGCTTAGAAACAGCTTAAACCGGGAGGTGCAATTTGACGCTGTAGTAAATACAGTAAGTAGTATCCGTCTACATTCTTTGTGACATTGGTGTCTTAAATAACGAGAAAACCATATGTTGATTTCCGCATACACCAAAACATGGATTTAAAACCGTAGCTCAAAAATGCTATTTACAACCATTTTTAATGATTTTTGTTAGTAAAACACTTGAAGTCATGCACAAGTTACATATATTTAGTATTGAAACCATAATATTTTGTTTTATTTGTCGTAAAATCGACAAACTTTTTGTAGTAATGAATTATTCATATATTTAAAAAGCAAGGGAGTCGTTACCTGCGCTTGCGTCAGATGGTCATAGCGTGTCATTGTTTACAGGCGTGGCGTGTGTTGTTATCGTCACTTGGGACTAAATCCCACACGATCGCAGGTCACTACACTCCCGCTTTAAATGAGAACATAAAGCAACCAATTGTGTCATGCGACCCACCGCCTGGCTACATGTATGCGTGTAGTGAGTTGCACAGCTACTCAATAGCTAGATCAGAAATACAACCAAATGCAAGGTGGTGAAAGATGCTAAATGATACATGGCAACACATAGATGAATGAAACTCTACATGATTACACACAAGCCACTGTGGTATGTGATCAGCACTTTCTTGGGTCCATCTAATCATGCATTTCCAGCTCTACTACTAAGTTCTAATTCCTAATTCGTAGGTTAGCTGTCCGAAACTTCTTCTGTAATGATTGTAGTTGGAATTAACAACTTCTTTTTATTACCATTCATCAATTATGTTCTCATTATAGACCAAGTTGATAGATGCTGCTGCAAAAGGTGATATTAAAGAAGTAAAACGATTGCTGTCAGAGGGATATGATGTCACTTTCAGGATAAGGTATTTATGCCTGGACATCACAACTAAATATGAATTTGTGAAAGCGTGACTGATTAATTTTTGTTGTACATAAAATATATAA